CTTCGTATTTTCATGCACCTTTTTCTCTCTCTTTTTTTTTGTTTTGTTCACATTTATCTATCTTTATTTATGGAATCTATCTCTTTATATTACTCGAGTAGTGGCAGTTTGTTTGTCTCTCTCTTCATTGCGAATACATTACGTGTTTAAATTTGTTAGTCCAACTACCGTGGCAACAATTCGTTGTATAGCAACGAACATTTATTTATTTTATATTATTAAACTTGTTATTAGCGATTGACATTTACCTAAACCGAACACTAACAAATACTGCAAATTCACTATTTTTAAAACTGAAAACAAAAAGTGATGAAGAGTGGGCCTTGATTTCAACAATGTGCGTATCTTATGGGGATTAGATATTGAATACCTCCAATTTTTATATTTGGTTGAAATATATAAACACAAACGTACTTTGGAGTCTTCACCAACTCGGGATCCTTACAACACATGTTTACCAATTACAATATGTGTCGGGTATGATTTAATTTTATTTAAGGAATTTTTCTCTATCCCATGCAATTCCTCTTTTTTCCTTTTCTTCTAAAAACTGAAAAAGCTCATTCATAATTTTATATTCTAAAAAGAGTTCAGATTTCTGCAATAAAAATACTTCTTGGTTTATCAGTGTTCAATCAAACATAATATATTAATCCAGATTCCAAACTTGCGCTTCAGAAGTTTTGGATTTACTCATCGAAAATAAGCCCAAAATTCCAAATTAAACGGGCTTTTTTTTAGTTAGGCCCGTTATTGAAAATCTTAATTAAGATCGCTTCCCGGGTAATAATCAGGCGCGGTATAGACCACCGTAACCGAAGGATCGGAAGAGGATCCTGCGCTGCCTACTTCCTCTTCTCAGTCTTCTGCCTCCGCCGTCTTTAGAAAGATCGAGTTCTGATTTTAAGATCGAGACCTTGAATCCCTCCCTGCTCCGGTAACAATCGAGCGTTCTCTGAACCGTCCGTTAAGTAGCCTGACGGCTCCGATTTGTTGAAATATGGGTTGGATCCGGAGCTTACTTTGAGCATAGCCTTCCGCAAAATCGTGAGTGCTAAGTCGTCCCTCTCTTTCGATTTTGTTCGACCTTGTAATTTGATCAAATGATTGGTGTAAATATATATCCTTTTTGTCAGAATTCTTATTGGGTTTGTTGATATGTGGACGGTGTTGCAGAATCTCGGGAATACATACATGTTTTCTTAATTCAGTATTGCAATGTTTGACATACATTGAGCCTTTAGCTGCTGTTCTGCTAAAAGTTGCGCATCAGAAATTTTGTAAGTTGCTATAGATGCTCGTAATGCTAAATCTCTTGCTGGTTTGATCAGCCGGAGCATTTCTGTCTTCTGTTTTAGAGTAATGGCTGGGTATGTTAGTCTTTATTCTGTCTCTGATACTGTGTTCATATCAAATCGTTTGTGGCTGGATTTTGTGCTTTATGTGCAATGCAGAAACATTTTAGGACTGATCGTCAAGCTACTGGCAGAATATTAGCACCGGAAGATTTGGTCTCAAACTTGCGATGTACGCTTCTCAGACCCTATTTGCTTGCACTATTGTGTGCCAGTTTTGCCTTGCTAATCAGACTAATGAGGATTCTCAACTGCTTGGTTAGGGTAGGAGGATGCACATGAATACATGATCAATTTGCTAGAATGCATGCACAAGTGCTGTCTGCCTCCTGGTGTACCAAGTGAATCCGCTGATGCTTACAGGACCAGCATGGTACACACATTTTTTGGTGATAGCCTCTGTAGTCAGGTAAAGATACTTTGTTTTCAGGAAGACCTCTATGGAACGATGAAATGCCTCACACTGCTTAATATATTATTTTCCAATTCAGGTGAAATGTGAGCGATGTTCCCATTGCTCCAACAATTTTGATCCATTTCTTTACTTAAGTCTAGACATTTCAAAGGCAAATTCATTGCAGAAAAGCACTTTTACGTTTCACTGCTGTTGAACTCTTAGATGATGGTGCAAAGGTTTACCAATGTGAAAGATGCAAGCAGAAAATTAAGGCTAAAAAACAGCTAACTGTTTCTATAGTACCTTACGTTCTAACGGTACATCTTAAGCGGTTTGAAGCACATAGATCCAAAAAAATCGACAGGAAAGTCGAGTTTGCCTCTGCAGTTGACATGAAACCTTTTGTCAGTCTCCCTATGTAAGTGGGCTTCGTAATGTGCTCTATATTCGATGAATTTGACCTGTTCTTACAGTTGGTTGGATGATCTTATTCATGTATTTTTTGTAATCTTTAAGCTTCATGATTTCCTAACAATACAGTACTTGAGTTGAATAGGAAGGTAATTTGAAGTACACTCTAGTGAAGTTGCTTCTGGCTCTGCTTGCTTGCATGTGGAGGATGATAATAGTGTCAGTGTCCATTGTAAAAGCATAGCGAGTAGTAATGGGAGTATGTTGCTAGGCTCTCCCACCGGAGAGCTCAAGGAGAGAACTAATCGAAATGGTGCCATTCTTGCGTCAGACCAAGAGCCACCCTTGAGGAGTTGACTTGTCTGAAGCAAGCCCAAACCACAAAAGAAAGAGAGAGAGTTCTCAAAAGAAGAACAAATCTCATGACAGAAAGAACATGTGACCATTCTCACGCGGAGTTTGCCAGAGACGTATCAACGTATCACTTTTAGAAATTTGGTCATCCTGACTGCTGATTTGGGCCGAACTACCATTTCCAGTTGTATGCATCAAAGAAACAATCATAGACGAAGAAGAAATGAACGCAATGCATGAATACTGCAAAGACAGCCTTCAGGATATTATGAATAAGGGAGCAGCCATAATCTTATAAAATATGTAATCCACTTGTCGCTTTGCTGTATTTGGTGAAAAGTAGTGTTAACAACAGAGGAAAAGAGAAGCCATAGGCATTAGATATTGTTTGTGATCACTTTTCCTCTCAGTTTTGTTCCATTTGTGATAAACAGAGACAAGATACCGTCCTCAGTTTCTGGAGTAAGATTAGCTGTTCAGGTTCATACTATTTTACAGCTGGATTTGGATATATTATGCTCGTGAAATACTAATACTTTAGCATGAACATTTTAAGGAAAAGTAAGTGGAGATCTGAATCGTTAAATATAAACTATGCTATAATAATAGTATTTATGAGTCCCCTAAACCCTAGTAAAAACCTAATCACTTTCTTTGTCGCCGGCAAAAGAAAACACAAAACCAAGACTTTGAAGAGATGGAAGAAGAAATCACGAAGCTTTTCAAGGTGCGTCGCACGGTGTTGCAGATGCTAAGGGATCGAGGTTACAATATAGAAGAATCTGATTTGAACATGAAAAGAGAAGAGTTTATTCAGAAGTTTTGTAAAGCTCCTTTGAACAAAGTGAACAAGGAAGCTCTTTTCTTCGCAGCCAATAAAGGGCCAAATTCAGCCGACAAGGTAACATCATCTATCAAAAACATGTCATAAAAAGGTGTAACCTTTTAACCAAATCTTTGAGTTTTGTGACAGATTTACGTTTTCTTCCCGGAAGGTCCTAAAGTGGGAGTCTCTGTGATCAAAAACGATGTGGCAATGAAGATGGGAGGCGATAAAGTTACTCGAGGGATCATAATTGTTCCAATGCCTATAACTGGTCCAGCCAAAAGCTATCTAGTAGAGGTCAACAAGATTCTAACAATTGAAGTCTTTGAAGAAGCTGAATTGGTGACCAACATTACTGACCATAAACTCATCAACAAGTACTATGTACTCGACGATCAAGCTAAGAAAGAATTACTCACAAAGTACACTGTGAAAGACACACAGCTGCCTCGTATCCTTCTCTCTGATCCTCTTGCAAGATACTATGGACTCAAGCGAGGACAAGTTGTCAAGATCAGACGAAGCGACGCTACTTCTTTAGACTATTACACCTACCGATATGCTGTTTGATTCATATCCACCATTTCTTTTGTTTTTGATTTTACAAACCTTGCTTCTTCATTGTTTTGGTTTGGATACTAATAAACTCAAATTTAGAGGCTTTACAAAACATAAAAGGAACTTGTTAACAAGTTAAAGGAAAGTCCCCTGTTTTTAGACGCACCTTTCTTGTCCGAATATACAGTGGTGGAACCTGAAGCAACTGGTGAGATGATCGTTTGTTATCCCTGCCGCCTGCATGAAGGAGTACACCACCGTTGGTCCTACCCCGCGGAACCCTCTTCTCACTAGATCTTTGCTTATCACTTCTGCTTTTGGGGTTTTTGCAGGCACTTGTCGCTGGTACCTGAACTTGCTCACAATCGCCTTGTTCTTCACAAAGCTCCATATATACTTGTCAAATGATCCGTATTCTTCTACCACCTATCAACAGAGAAAGCATTCATCAATCTGATCGCAATGTGCTGGTGGTTTAGTTGCCGATCATATGCAACAATCGTATCCGTCCAGACTTGATCTTCTTTTTGGTTGAATCTTAAAACAATACTTTGACATATTTAAGACCTCTTTTTATATTTCAATTTCCAGACTTTCGGCTTTTAATGTGTTCAAAGTTGGGTCTCTTGAGCATCAGACCAAGACTGGAAGAGGGGATCTACCTTTAATATCTGGCGCGCATTCTCAACGACAGCCCTTAGCTTAAGATCAGACAACAAAGTGCTCCCGATGCTTCCTGGACCGATTAGCTTCTTCTCATTGATATTCACAATGACATTGGGGTCAAAATCAGCAAAAACTTCCCTGCATTCAACACTTGTCATGAGAAAACACAAAGTCCTACCAGAATGGACTGCCTTAGACTAATGAGATATACTTCCAAATGCAAAAATGAGCGAGCCAGAATCATAGCAAGAACCTGAAGGTCTGCCTCTTGCTCAGTATTGTAGGCCATGTGTGTTCGGCCAAAGCAACCGAAAGGACAAGAAGTTCAAATAACCTCCTGATCATACATCACAAAAAATGATAGTAAGGAATATTCATCAATAAAAACAGTGCATATATGCACAAGCAAGATAAGCTTGAAACCGTACTTGTCATCGTGAACTGGCACACCCCATTCTTCATCATGGAAAACAGTGTAGCACGGATCTTGCGTTTTTATACAAAAGACCAGTCAATATAGAGATCTTTGAAATTAAATCCATTTGCATCTGAATACAGACAAGAGTAAGAAAGTTACCGGAGTTTGGTGTCACCCAAGCACACCTCTTCTTAGTCTCTGAACCATTGGGTGGTGAATCCAAAGCTCCTTCAGAGACCACACTTCTTGGCTTCGAAGGGTAAGACTTACTTCTATTTCCAACACTATATGACCGAATCAACCGACCTGTTGATGCTCGGCTCTGGAACGAGTCCATGGAGGCATCAGAGGAAAATGATGCATTCAATGACAGACTAGAATTCAGGACTTGCTCATGCCGTCGTAATACAGAAACTGCGGTAAGAGTCTTGTGCTTCCGAGAAGAAGACGATCCAATTTCTGCTGGTGAAGCATAAGATATTTTCTCATCTGATCCAGTGAGCCTAGATGCGGATCTTTCAAGCTTTCTCAGTGACTTTGACACATCTTTGTGTGTGATGAACGGAGTAGCCTTGTTAGCAGCAGTCCTCAGAGTTGGCCTTGTCTCTGATTCAACCATATTCATGGATTCAAATCTAGGAGCACCACCAGACATGGATTTCACCAAGCACTTGACTCAAACCAGCTTTCACGAGCCTGTGACCTGATTTCTAACTCTTGGCCTTAAAAATACTCTCTTTCACAACACCCAAAACTTTGAATCAACAGATAAACAAGTCATCCTTTTTCCTCACAAACAGCTCAGAGACATCATCGTCATCGAGAGGAAGCACAAAAAGTAGCTTAACACTTCCATATAGTCAAAGCTTTCAGCTGCTAATAAAGCAGCTTGAACGAACCAACCAATAATACCCACTTGGAAATCAGAAAGCTAAGCTACTAGTACACTCTACCAAGTAAAACAGAGCGCAACAACAAGAAAAAAGCTTCCTTTTCTTGACCAAATTAAGGTTAGGGTTTCACAAACAAAAGCTTGGTCAAGATCAATGAAACCGATTCATATATAAACCGACAGAAACCAGCCAGCATTTGTCAACTAATGGGATGAAATTTAGCACATTGACTAGAAAAGAAAAGCAGATTTTGCACACCTAGTTACTGGTTTCTCATTTAGAGAAAAAAGCTGACAAATTTCCTGAAAATTCCCATGAGTTTCTTCTTCCCAAGAAAACCGAGAAGAAACTGCAATATCATAAATAAACATTAGATTGGCGAC